TTTAACTTTCTTAAGCACATTGACTTAATCAAAACTGATGTCTACTGTCTATTGACGACATGGCTCTTGTTTACTTGTCCAAATTGGACCAGTTTTCGTGATAAATATATGATAAATAATGTTTATCTAATTGAAATCAACAAATAAAAATCAGTAACTTAGTCTGCATACACGTGTTTTCTTCCATATGAACTTTTATGAGTCAATTATGCACAGCGAGTCCATCTATGCTCTTGACTTAAGCCTTTTTAAGGAAATATTCCTACATTTATGCTCAATCTTTTCCCATAATTTATGTTCCATATTCCTTAAATTTTGTCCGCTAATTAATAAGCCATCGCTGGGGACCCAATAAAAGACAGAAAAATCAACTTTCTAGATGCATCGTCAATGTTGATAAGAACATGAAACATGCCAATATGATAAAATCGCGACTGTTTACTTTTAACCACAGATGAAGATCATGAAATATTAACTACATAAATTATGGGTAATTTCATTTGCATTGGATACAATTTTTTTGTTTCTCAAAATAAGAAATACCTGATTTTGAGTGCTTTAAACTCTAAAAGATTTATGTACCAAAAAAAAAAAAAAGAAGAGAACTCTACAAATATTGTATAGTATAACAATAAAATTGTTATAATTTTGTGATGTAATGTGGAAATTATACCTGTAACTACGGAAAGGAAAAGTCTAGTGTTGGCTGAAGAAGTCTGCTGTTTCTATCACAGAGGTAAATGACTAGTCAGCTTAAGAAAGTTGCCCACGTGGATCATGATTATAGTAATAAAATAAAGAATTTTAGGGTTAATTTTCTCTTTACCACGGCACTTTACCTTCTTGCATGCATTCTTTATAGCGAGTTTCTCAATCCATGTTACTGGTAAAACTGAAATCATAGAACAAGAGAAGCAAGTTAGTAGCGACCATATATATTTTGAACGTAAAATGTTTCAAAATATATAATGTATTTTATTTTAGAAAAATAAGCATAATAGATATGTTATGGTAGTACTGTTTGAGGTCATTTATAGAAATCCAATCCAATGCTTATCAATTTTCTCCTCCTAGAAGTAAAACGTTGAAGTTGATTTCATCAAAATGCAAACCACGAAAACGTTTAATTTAAACTTTCATTGAAGGTGACATTATTAATATTTTTATCCTTTTTACCTATTTCACTTGATCAAGCAAATGGATTCAACAATTTTCCATGCCTTCTCCCCTATAAATACCCCTCTAATCCTCTCATTTTTTTCATCAATCACTCAACAATTTTTCTTTTCATTACAAAATTCTTGCAAAACAAAATGGTTTCAATCAAAATTGCACTCTCTCTTTTGTGTCTCATGGGGTTAGCCCTCGTCTTCCCCTCCCATGCACAAAACTCCCAATAGGATTACGTCAATGTCCACAATTCAGCTCGTGCAACTGTTGGTGTTGGGCCTGTGACTTGGGACAACACAGTAGCTGCCTTTGCACAAAACTATGCTAATCAACGTATCGGCGATTGCCCTCTCGTCCACTCCGGTGGTGGTGGGAAATATGGTGAGAACCTTGCATGGAGCAACGCTGACCTTTTGGGAACAGATGCTGTGAAAATGTGGGTCAGTGAGAAGGCCGATTATGACTACAACTCTAATACTTGTGCTGCAGGCAAGGTTTGCGGCCACTACACTCAGGTAGTTTGGCGAGACTCCGTTTGCATTGGGTGTGCCAAAGTGAGGTGCAACAATGGTGGAACTTTCATCGGTTGCAACTATGCTCCCCTAGGCAATTACGTCGGGCAGAAACCTTACTAATTAATTAGTTCTATCTCATTTGTCACCAAATAAGAGATGATTGAATGTTTTCAATGAATAAAGTCTATTGTACTGGCAAACGAATGTTTAATTCATGAATGAATTACTATACATATTTTGTTAAATTAACAATCGTAATTTATATTTTTTTTGGATAATCGGTGAATACGGTAATTATAAGTGAATGAAAAAACAACCTAAAGAAGGGGATTCCCTTTAGAAGCCAAGCTCCTCGGACAAGTCCAAGGAACCAAACTACACAAAAGCAACAAAGGGGAACAGGATATTCAACCTTATGTACCAAAAAGAGTAGCCTCTAGAAAGTCTAACAAAAGAAGATCAGCAAAACCAACAACGAAAACAGGCCTTGCTTCACCAAATAAAAACCTAGAGAAAACTTGAATCAGTTGCTGGAAGAACCCAGTCACCAAATCATTATTCTTCTTTAATTCAATCGCTGGAAATCCAATAAAGATAAATTTGAGGTATGGACAAGATGTTGCAGAAGATCATAAATATTATGAATTGGTGAAGAGCTCTTGAGCAATGTTGGCATTACAGGTTTTTGGAAAAGCGGTAACAGGTCATCATATGCGTGTACATGAGAGTTACGAAGGAAAATGAGTGACATATAATTCAATAAGATGAAAATGGGATAGTTTAAACTGCGAGCACACATGCTCCTTGACTAAGAAGACTTGTATAAAATATATGACTAGATTCATCTAATTTTATAAATGGATGATTAATAGTTGTAAATCTGAACTCGTAGAGGTGTTTCCTAAGAGAATTCTAATGATCTCACTACTCCTTATAATGTAATGAAGATTTTTTTTTTTTTTTTTTTTTTTTTTAATGATTGGGGTGTCTGAGCCAATTATATGCACCTAAACTAATCTTTAAGATCTGAAACTACCAATCAGTAAGAACTCTAGAATATCCCTTATTAATAACAGAGGAGTGACTCCAACTTAGACATTTTGAGTAATATACTCAAGAATCACTATAAAATTACTCGGTCATCTAGAGGTGTAATGAGATGAAGATTAATTTCATGAAAGGAAAAGGTAGAAGTTAATTTATAAGGGTGGGTCTTTTTTGTTTTTTGTTTTTTTTTTTTTTTTTTTAATAGAAAATAGACTACATGTATGTATGGCATACTATATTGTATTGTTCTATATATGTCTTTATTGGATTGGATGGTATGATGTATTCGGTCTATCATTATTGTATGAAAAATAATCTATTTTTTAGTTATAGAATGATTCTTAATTAATTTTTAATAAATTGATTTTAAAAAGTCCACTATTATCACAAGTCCAAATAATCAACTTACATTCATCCTTTTAGTTATGTTTTTAAACTCCGCACCGATTTATCAAACTTTGATGGTCAATAGCGTACAAGTACTATCTACTTTTGACTTGCATTTCTTTTATAATTTCAAATATATAAATGAGAATTAAATACTTTTATTTTTCTAAGGAAATAAAAAAAAAAATTATGGAGTTTGTATCATTTTTATGTGTAGCACAATCTAATATATCTACTCGGTATTATTTAATGTTATGTATATTGTATTAATTAATACAATACTTATAAAATAGTATAATACAATGTATAATTTATTAATGGAGGTTAGTTTCATCGGTAACTGAAAGTTCAGAGAATGTAGACATGTGCTTTTCTGGCTATATATAATTTCAACGCTTTCCATAATCAAAGTTTCCAAACGCAGCCCTGAAATTTTGTTAATCTCCAAAGTCCAAAACAATTAGGAACTTAATTAATTATTTTTAGGGTGCATTTGGCTTATTGTTTTTATTCATATTTCAAATCCTATTGTTCAAATGTTGTTTGGCACGTTATTCCCAAAATATTAGTCTATTTTTTTAACTATTTTTAGACCCTATAAGTTTATTAATTTCATTAAATACCCACTAGAAAAAAGTTTAAAAACTAACAAAAACACGCCCGCCTACCAATACTTACTAGATTCCAGCAACCACCACCGGTGGTAGCCGGAATTTGTCACAACAGTCATACAACCATCGGAAATAACCGATATTTCTGGTCAGATCTACAGTGGATTTGGCCAGAAAAGGCGACGACCAAAAAAATGGTCGTCGTTGACTATCAATAACGACCAACTGACGGCTAAAGATGGTCTTTTCTGGCCGTCGAGGGCCACATGCGACCTTAGATCTGGCCTTTTCTGGCCAGATCCGTGGTAGATATGGCCGGAAAAGGCCATATCGATCGAATACCCGCAAGATCCAACCGGTATGTATGGTTACCCAAATTTCTGGCTAGATTCCGGTGGTGGTGGTCGGAATCTAGCACTGCGGGTGGTAAGGGTGTTTTTGTTATTTCACAATATTTTAATATATTGGGGTGTTTATTAAATTAGTAAACCTTGGGGGTTTTTTCATAAATTTTTAAATTTTATCTCGTAATACTCCCCTATCCAACTATCTAATACTATCCCCAAAATAATAAACCAAACGCACCCTTAAATTTCATTGTACTTGTTCTGAAGCATGCGATGGCTAAAGGATCTTTTAATTGTATTTATTTTTCCTTCAGTGTCATATAATTGACGACGGTAGGAACCCAACAACTTCACCAATCCAACGGAATAAACTTTACTATTATTAGATCATATATAAATAGTGATTTTATAACACATCCAAGCATATTCTAAGGTGATTATAAATTTATACATAGATATATAAAGCACGTATTCATAATTCAGTATATAACTTGGACTAAACAAAATATTTCATTTTATTCTTTCTTTTATCTCATCTTTTATTAGTTTCCTCACGTTCTCTTTAGTATTAATTCAAATGGAATCCAAAATAATTCTTNAAATGTTTTAAAATATATAATTTATTTTATTTTAGAAAAATAAGCATAACACATATGCTATGGTAGCACTGTTTCACGTCATTTATAGAAATCCAATCCAATGTTTATCAATTTACTCCTCCTAGAAGTAAAACGTTGAAGTTGATTTCATCAAAATGCAAACCATGAAAACGTTTAATTTAAACTTTCATTGAAGGTGACATTATTAATATTTTTATCCTTTTTACCTATTTCACTTGATCAAACAAATGGATTCAACAATTTTCCATGCCTTCTCCCCTATAAATACCCCTCTAATCCTCTCATTTTGTTCATCAATCACTCAACAATTTTTCTTTGCATTACAAAATTCTCGCAAAACAAAATGGTTTCAATCAAAATTGCACTATTTCTTTTGTGTCTCATGGGGTTAGCCCTCGTCTTCCCCTCCCATGCACAAAACTCCCATCAGGACTACATCAATGCCCACAATTCAGCTCATGTAGCCGTCGGTGTTGGGCCTGTGACTTGGGACAACACGGTAGCTGCCTTTGCACAAAACTATGCTAATCAACGTATCGGCGATTGCACTATGGTCCACTCCGGTGGTGGTGGGAAATACGGTGAGAACATTGCAGGGAGCAGCGCTGACCTTTTGGGAATGGATGACGTGAAAATGTGGGTCAATGAGAAGGCCAATTATGACTACAAGTCTAATACTTGTGCTACAGGCAAGGTTTGTGGCCACTACACTCAGGTAGTTTGGCACAACTCCGTTTGCATTGGGTGCGCCAAGCTGAGGTGCAACAATGGCGGAACTTTCATCGGTTGCAACTATGCTCCCCCAGGCAATTACGTCAGGCAGAAACCTTAGTAATTAATTAGTATTATCTCATTTGTCACCGAATAGGAGATGATTGAATGTTTTCAATGAATAAAGCCTATTGTACTGGCAAACGAATGTTTAATTCACGAATGAATTACTATACATCTTTTGCTAAATTTACAATCGTAATTCATCTTTTTTTTTTTTTTTTGGATAATCGGTAATTTATAAATGAATTGTTGTGCATGAAACAGAATTCAAACCTATCAATCAACACTTACAAACAGAATCATACTTAAAACTACCAAGAACACAATCAAGAACACAAGATTTTTATCGTGGTTCGCTTATTCCAATGAAATAAACTACGTCCACGTTGAGCTCCTAGCAAATTGGGACTCACTGCACTATAAGGATCAAAGTATTACAAGAACAACTCAATCACAACCCAAATTGCTCAACTCTTACACTGATACAACAATCACTCGAACCTCCCTGTAATCACAATAATCTAACCCGAAAACTGAAAGCCTATACCAGAAAAACCACTCAGTAATTTCTGCTATCAAGATTCACAAGAACCTAAACCTGATTACAATGTTCGAAAGAGGAAAAAATAAGAAGACTAAAACTGTTGTAAAACGCAAGAAAGAAGAAGATCAAGTTGTTGTGCGCATTCTTAGATCTGGCTGCCTTTTATTCTTTGACTTAATGAGCTGATAATGGCCGTCAGATCTGAATGGAATCAATGGTTGAGGATTGTCACTTGAGCTAACACCAAGACGACAGCGTTTCACTTCAAGCGCAAGACGACACTGTTAAAGATTCACTCAACAACCTCCACCTTGAAGCTTTAACACACCACCAAATCAAGAGAACCAAATATCCTTATCAGTGTAGTTTCACCACAAATTGCTTATCACAACTCAATTGTTGCAGGTCATTTGACATGCAGTAGGTTCAAGCAGTGCTTGAACTTAACCAGAGTGACTACCTTTGTTCCCATGTCAACATGATTGTCTTCAGTTGGTACCTTTTTCAGGCTAATCACTCCTTTCTTAACTAGCTCCCTCACAAAGTGGTACTTAACATCAACATGTTTGGTCCATTCTGGTACACTGGATTCTTGCACAAGTGGATGACACTTTGGCTGTCCGAATAGACAATAACTATACCATCCAGCAACTCTACCTTTGATAGTAATCCTTGGAGCCAAATGGCTTCTTTGAATATGTCCGTGACAGCCACATATTTTGCCTCGGTGGTGGATAGTGCAACAATTAGCTGAACTTGAGACTTCTAGCTCACACAATTTCCCCCCAAGGTAAACAAGTATGTAGTAGTTGACTTTCTTAAGTCCTTGTCACCTGCAAAATCAGAGTCTACAAAACCTACAAGATCAAGTGAGTCAAATCTTTTTCCATATTCTAGACCAACATTTAATGTAATGTTAATATACCTAAGCAACCATTTGAGGGCAAGCCAATGCTCAAAACCAGGATTTGACATAATTTGGCTTAAAAGGGAAATTGCAAAGGAGAGGTCTGGTCTAGTGTTGATCATGGCATATATAACAGACCCAATTACATTAGCATAGGGAACATTTTCCATTTTAATTAAATCTGCATCTGTTTTGGGACATTGACTCTTACTTAACATGAAATGTCCAGCCAAAGGTACTGTTACTATTTTAGAACCTGTCATGCCAAATTTGGTCACTAGTTTTTACAAATATGAAGTCTGATGCACCTTTAGTTCATTATGCTTTCTGTTTCTATCTATGACCATGACTAAAATCCTTCTTGCATGTCCTACATCTTTCATATCAAATTCAGAGTTTAATTTTTTCTTTAACTCTTCCAGCCTAGATTTAGACTTGCAAATTAAAAGCATGTCATCAACATGTAACAACTGCTGTAAACTAGTACAATGCATGCATAATAACAATAGAAAATGGGCCCAAAACTTTTCCTTTGTATTATAAGTCATACGTCTTTTATACACAAAGAACGTCATTTACAAAAATGCCATTTTAAAAGACAGAACAGGGGAAACAGTGTAGCTATTGCTCCTCGCTTGCCGACGCCCCTCCGACTACATCATCACCTAGATCCTGCATCCACAAAGGAAAATAACGGGGTGAGCACAAAATAATGCTCAGTAAGTAAAACCCTCTATCTGTCTATCCCCGTATGTATTACTCTTAATTCTTTCCTCACACTTTCTGTGGTCCTACTAAAAGTCATGGCCTCATCTTACCGGAGGTACGGCCGGATGACGTTCACACAGCACCATCTCACTCTTCATGACTATTGGGTGGAATTCACACAGCACCACACCCGTTTTGTGACTACCGAGTGGGGATCATTTCGTAACTACGGGTGGAGACACATAGCACCTACCCGTTCCTCAGACTTTCGGATAACGATCACCAAGCATTAACCCGTTCTAATCACTGTCGGGTGATGATCACAAAGATCAACCCATCTCTAATAAATATCGGGTGATGGTCCAAAGCATCAACCCCTTTTTAATACTACAGGTGATGGTCACAAAGCATCCACCGTTTCTCATACCTATGGATGATGATCCAAAGCATCAACCCATTTAATGGCTATTTGGGTGGTGATCACAAAGCACAACCCGATTTCCATAACTGTCGGGTGATGATCACAAAGCATCAACCTATTCTAATACTCTTCTATTCACTCTATATAGCACTTCTCATTCTCTCTACCCTTAGAGTGTGCATCCACAAAGTTCTCTACATCATAGAGCAAGTGCATACACAAAGTTTCCTACTCTTTCTTAGGTCACTCTCAATGCACAATTAATGCTATGGATGGTTCATGATGCGTGTGTTCTTACAACATGCAAAATGTAGCAAGTATACTAGTCACAAAAAGTAATAAAGTGATGAGTGAGTATCGTTCCATGAGGATAGTGTTACTAATACCGATTTTTCTAGTTTAAGTCCTAATTGAAGCAACAATAAATTGGATTGATGGAAGATTAACAAACTAAATACAAATGCAAACACCAACAACTTAACTGATTAAACAATTCTAAAACAAATGCTAGGGTGTTGAATTCACCTAAATACGCTAACCCAAATCATAGAATCTATTACCCAAGTTCTAATTCCTTGATTGAAAATTGAATTCCCTAAGTGTAAAATATACATTCTCATGCTACATTTCCCTACTTATCCGTATTAAGCTTCGCACCCAACAAAATGAAGATTAATAGTTCAAAGGATTTTAAGCTTTGTGGATTCTATCTAGATTTCATAGTTCGCTAAACCTATCTCTAGCGTTTGCTAATCATGGTATTATCCAAGAGGCACAATCACAAATCACTTCTCAGTCTCATTGTGAACAACCCACATTGAATGGTGATCAAGCATCCAAAAGACATAAGCAAAGAGATAAACACTCAATCATGAAATTAAAACTCAAAGTAATTCAATCCATATAAATTTGAATCATTGTATCAAGATTACATCAAACCTAGCTAACAACTCAGTTCATACTCAAAAACGAAATAAAACAACAAAAACAAACTGAATCAAGATCATCATTGAAAAGCAAGCAAAAGATGGAGAAATCTTCTCTAATTTGAAGCCCAAATCTTCATAATCTTCTCCTTCCATGAGGTGCCTCCCAAATCACGAACCAAGCCCCTTTTCTCTTCTTTCGCTCTAATTTAACCTCTCTCACTTAAGGACGAAGCCCTAGCAAGCCAAAACGCGTTGTTCTATTTTTATATCTGATGCAGGTTTCGCCGCGCGAAGAATTCCAGGCCCAATTTGAGCATGATAGAGTTCGAATCTGGAAACGTGTTAAACATTGAATGTATCCTTCAATTATATTTCTGGTCGTTCAAGAATCAGAACAATCCGAGGTCATAGATCAAGTTATGGCAGAATACTGAAGCATGTCCAAGACTTTTTCTTCAGTTCCAGCATACCTTTCACGACTTCAAGCCAAGTTTTACCTTTGTCCAGTCAGAATTAAGAAAAACCCAAAACATGAACGTTGTAGCTCCTCTTCTTAGCTTTCCAAAGCTTCTAAATTCAGGTCATTCCGCGTTTTCAAGCTCAAGTTACACAATTTACGCTCAAAACTGTTTATGCTAAACAATTGTTTAGGCCTACAAAGAAAATTAATAGAATTAGGTAGCAATTATGGCCCAAATTGTATGAAAGTATCCTAAATCTATCAAATTCAATGCAAAATCATAGTGTAAAATACGTTACATTCATCTTCACTAATGCACTTATGAAAAGTAACAGAATGTTGCAAGAATTAAGGTTCACTACTCATACTCAACACTCTATTAGGCATTTCATCAAACAACTCAAGTGCATAATAAAACTCTACTATAACAATGATTCAATCTTCTCTAACCATCCAAAATGGGGAGAAACCCCACATAGCCACATATCCTGCCAAAGAAAGACACTTCCAAAAGGATTCCTCAATACCCCTTCAATTCCATCTCAAACTACCTTTCCAAACCACATCTCACTTCTTATATTTGCAATGTATAAACAATCACAAAGCACTAGAAATCTCTATTTAAGCCTCAAAACATGGCATATAACATGTATATAACATACATACATAAGTGCTATCAAAACCCTAATCAAGAAATCCCAAATCTCAACTTGGGTTGGGGTTTATTACCTTGTTATGGAGAGATTTCACTAACTCTCTCTTTCACTGGTTTGCTTGAATTTTTCTTACTCTTAAGCAAAAGAACAAAAACCCTCAATATCAATATATACAAAAACTCACAAAGCTTCACAACCAAAGCAAGAATCCTTACCTTGGATGCCTTAGGTTGATTTTCTACCCCAAACACTCCAAAATCCCTTTAAACTCCTTGATCAAAAGAAAGAGAATTTGAGAGGAAGTAAGAGAGGAGAGTGGCGATGGAGGAAGAAGAATGAAGGGTTTGCAATGACTTATTCCTTTTAATGGAATTTATACAAGCATTCCCATTTTGCCCTTACTCTTCTTTGGGAATTCTATCTATATCCTTTGATTCATTACAAACAC